CCGGCCGAGATTTGCACTGCCAGCAATGGCAGCAGCAGAGGTGTGATGGGGCGTCGCCTTCCCCTGATTGCCGGGCTGCCTCCCACCCCTGAGAGCTCCCAGATTGTGAGAGGGGGCAGGCCAGGCCGAGGGACCCCCCACAATCCAGTGCATGAATTTTCATGCACTAGGCCTCTAGTCTTTTTATAATAGAGGTTAGCTTATATTACTTTTCTTTTTATATATATATATCTTGACCGGAATCGAACCCGGGACCTTTCAGTCCGCAGGCTGACGTTCTATCCACTGAGCCAAACCGGTTTTGGCATTACTATTCTATCCTTATAATTTTTATCTCCCTTTATTTTTTCACAGCATATTATATTTTTTCAGATATATATTTATTTGCTTAATTATTTATTAAATATCAACCTTGACTAAAATGTAAGCTCTCTAGGGGAGAGATTTTTTCAATTTTTGTTGCCTGCCATATCCCCAGAATCTAGCATAGCATACATTTGTTGGCTGAAGGAGTCTATCAATTTGGGGGGTGATCATATATACTTTTTTCTTTTGAATTTTTAAATGGTTAGTTATTGCAATAAATTTTCCGATGTTGAACTATCCTTGCATTCCTAATGTGACTCCACTTAGTCTGGTGTTTAATTTGTTTAAGATGCTGTTGAATTTTATTTGCTAGTATTTTAGTTACTATTTCCTCAGTAGATTTTCTTTAATTGTGGTACCTTTACTGAATTTTGTTCTTTTATCTGCTTTGGATTGAAACAAAGGAGCATTTTTTTTCCTCTCAAGGCAACCTAAATTTATCTTGCTTAGCAGAAGAGAGATTAATTTTCTCTAATTTAAAGATCCAGGATTATTTCAGTTCATATTTTTCTCCAATATTCGAGGCTGAGGTTCCTCTCAAGTCAAGTTCCACTTACTGATCATGTCCATTAAAGTGTTGGTGAGGATGTGGAGATATTGGAACTGTCATATATTACTGATAGGAATGTAACTGGGTGAGCCCATTGTAGAAAATTGTTGGGCAGTTCCTCAAGAAATTAAATCTAGCCCTTGCAATTTTTTTCAGTGGTTAGAGCATCAGGCCTCAGATCGAAGGGTCTCAGGTTCAATTCCCCATCAAGGGCACATACCCGGGTTGCAGGTTTTGATCCATGTCCCTGGTTGGGGCGTGTGCGGGAGGCAACCAATTCATGTGTTGCTCTCACATCGATGTCTCTCTCTCTCTTTCTCTTTCCCCTCCCTCCCTCTCTTCCACTCTCTCTAAAACCAGTGGAAAAAATATCCTCAAGTGAGGGTTAAAAAAAAAAGTTAAATATAGAATTACATATGATCTGGTAATTCTACTCCTGGATATATTTCCAAAATAATTGAAAACAGATGTTCAGACAACAACTGTACACAAATGTAAATAGCAGACAACTCAAATATCCACCAAAAGATGAATGGATAAACAAATTTGGTACATCCATATGATGAATATTATTCAGTCATGAAGTGAGGTACTAGTACATGCTACAACATGGATAAAGCTTGAGAACATTATGCTAAGTGAAAGAAACCAGGCATAAAAGCCCAAATATTATATCATTCTATTTATATGAAATATCTAGAAAAGGCAAATCTGGATATTGAGGTAAGTCAGTCTCTATAGCTTAATAGACAGAAAGCAGACTAATGGTTGCCAGGGGAGAGGGAAAGGAGGGAATAGGAAATGACTGCTTAATGGGTACAAGGTTTTTTTGGGGGGTGATGAAACAGTTCTGAAACTAGATGGTGGTGATGGTTGCACAACGTTGTAAAATGTACTTAATACCATTGAATTGTACACCTTAAAAGGATAAAATGCTAAATTGTATGTTATACAGAGTGGAGGAAAGGTAGGTTTACAGTTGTTCATATGAAAAATAATACACGAATTAATTTCACTTGTATTATAATACAAAAGTAATCCCTGTCTCACACACCCTCTGGTTTTAGTGCTGGAGTTATGTTGACATATTCTTACTTAACTGTTCTACTCTTTAAAGCAATTCTATAATGAACTTGCTCTTGCTATTCACAGTATCAGTTTCCATCATTTTGGATTGCATCTCGTTTGGGGCCAGCCTACTGTCTGCTATTTGTTCCTTTAGATGAAATTCTGTGCAGTGTTCATAGCAGACTACTCCTTTCCTTTCTTAGTTCTTTCAGCTCCCAAAGGGGCTGAGGGAGGATGAGGAGAAACATTCCTTCCTCTTCTCCCTTTTTATAGGTTCTTCCACTTATTCATTTCACTTCAAATG